ACGTCCGGCAAGACACCGAGCCGAGTCGTATGAAACATTCGGAGGAGAGTGCCCGTGAACGTTCTGGAAGCCCGGGCACCCTAAACCCTATACCCTAAACCCTAAATCCCTAAACCCTAAACCCTAATTTTCTTCATGTCATATCTACCGGCTGACCAACCAGATGCATAGAATCGGAAGTAGATTTTTCGTCTACAAGCAAAGAGAGGCACTTGCACTTCAGTTTGTTTGTTCTGTCCGCGTTGGATCTGACACCATGCATAAGGCATGCATAAGTTGCATAAGGGAATAAGCCAATAGCTCAGCAGCAACACCAATGAAGGGGCGTAGACAGTGTCTATGCTCGCAGTATGTACAGCAGGCCATGTAGACGGATTGCTGCTTCTTGCATTGCTGCAATGTGATGCATGAAAGGAGTGAGTTGGGCAGTGTTTGGAGGAGTAAAGCGATGCTTGACGCAAATGCGCACTGGGGCAACGCCATGTCGCTCCGTCCTCAGAGACTTGACAGTACCAGTGATGGGATTTCACCTTGGTTTGAAAACACACGCACGCGGGGCTTAAGGTGTAAGCGCAAGGGCGCTCAAGTTCACTGCCTTCCTTGCCGGCTCTTACTTCAACCCACTAACTGCTCGCAACCGCTCTACATTTGTGTTTTTCGCCCGGCACATGCTGGGGGCCGGGCATCCGCAACCGTGAAGTGCTTCATGGGGTCCACCGTCAAGAGGCCAGCGATTAGCTCCTGCATGTGCGTTCAATCTAGTGGGGCACTCAACACACTGCCCAATTCGAGTTAATTGCCGTGGGCACCAAATCCTTCGCAGAGCCGGTGAGAAAGGAGGGCGCCGTGTAGTTGGCCTGCCCGGATCTTCTTGTAGAGTGCCTCCGGTTCCTCGCGGGCTGAGCGGTCAAGACCCCTTGCACAGAAAGGAAAAAAAGAAACCTCCGGTCAGAGTTCTCTGCCCTCAGGGAGAGCAGACCCCGCCTCGTCCGGGAAGGGCATCGACCGGCACGCAAGCACCTGCGAATTTCAGTCAACCGTGCGGTGGCCGTAGCAGCTTCCCCATGCACATCTGGAAAACTGGCCAGTCATCGAGGTCGCGGCAAATAGGACTAATCCACAGCTCCAAAGATCACACGGGCCAGCACCTCCAACGTACCGAAATTCTACTCTCGGCGCGGTGCACCGATGTCCCGAAACCATCTCTGGAGGAGCATAGCCTCATGCCACCACTCCAAGCCACTATGAAGATAACTGCAAACACATGGTTCGACAAAGTTCGACATGTGTCGGTCGTCGTCAGGGTCTCAAACCCAGAACCCACAGCTTGCTCTAATCCGCCGAAAAATGCACTGAGGCAGGGGTTTGGGCGCATTTTCTGCGGCCTGTATCTTGTTACCTGCCGTGTCTACAGTGAACCTGCTCAGTCCGAGACAAGGAGAGCCGCAGGCGGTCTTTAGCAACTTGTTGCCGTCGAAGCACTGCGCAGCGGGCGGGCTTGCCGTGAGAATCGTGTAGCAGCTTCAAGCTGATAACATGCGATTGTAGATGAGTCATTCTGTGTCATTTTCATCGAAGGATCCACATGGCTGGCAATGATGCAACCTCTACAACTGCAGATTCTGCTGCGAAAGTCAACGGCCGACTGAGGCTGCGAACGTTGCTCAGCCCGAAGTCGGCTATCTTGATGATGTGTTTATGCCTCAATCGAGTGGGCTCATCCGCAATCGACGCTGGTGTCGTCGCTACCCGAGAGCTGTGCTTGTCCAGGAGGAGATTCTCTGGCTTCAGGTCCTCATTGAGTCGTCGTCAAAACCCCGTTTTGGCGCCATTATCCTATACCTCAATCGATGCGTGCACTTGCGGCCGCCGAATAAAATCTGAGGGCCGCATATACATATATACATATACGAACATATTCCTGCACATATACGTACACATGCAGGGCATACTTGTATACATGTACATTTATATATGTTATGGTGTAAGATGATATGTACATGCGCATGTGTATATATATATATACACATATACATGCATATACCTACGCACACACACACAGACATACATACTTACATTCATTCATATGTACGTACTTACGAGATTGCCAATCCAAGTGTACGGATTGAGGGGCTACAGGGCCCCAGGCTTCAACATGTGCAGGTTGGGTATCTGTTGGGTATCAGTAGGCCACACAACTACACTCCTTTCCATAACCCGATTTTGGGCTGACAAGCTCGAGTCCTGTGGCGTACTACGCTCGGCGTAAACCTTAATTCGGAAATAAATACAGCTCTCCGGACTACACACCGTTCTGGCGACTGGCACGTTTGCAAACGAAAGTGCAGTGCAGCAGCTCTCGAGATTAGCTACTGACAACAACAGCTACTGTCGAGTTATGCGCGACCGCTGGGGGTATCGGGCGGGGTATCGGTATTGGGCCAGGCCCACACAAGCGTTTCCTTTGACTCCGTTCAACCTATGCATGTAGTTGCGGCCGCCCTCGTAATCCAAGACTGTTGGAAACCGTGGGCCATTCCAAAATACAGCCTAGACTAACGAGGTTTTGATCGTGACTCATGTTGAAAGAATGCGCATGCTAGCCACATGCCAATACTTGAATTGTTCCATGTCTTCCTGCCAGTGGCGGACATGTGCACACGCCAGTGCTTCAACCGGGTCCCAGACGCGATGAACAATGTTCTTCGAATGAATGTGCGCGACCTGGCATGGTATCCGGGCCGCTACTGCGAAGCAGTCGAAATTCTCTGAAATAGTGCATGGGCTGAGCTCCTTGCGCCAGCAATGATCTGGTGGAAAAACCGGCATGCTTCGGGTTCCTTATGCAACATTCTAGCACAGCTGCGCGGACTTGGTCTATACTTTAGACGGTCTGAGGCCGTGCACGGGCAGCCGCTGGTTCTCCACGATGTAATCCAGCAGGTTGCCCCCTTCGGCGTACTCCAAGATGACGTGAACCCTGGGAGGGTGGAAACTTGTGCCAACTGCTTCTTCCTCGTCTGCGTTGCGTCAGTAAATGCAGGACTGCGGCTTGCCAGATTTTTGGAACTGCTGCAGAATCGCCGTCACGCTCCTTGCGTTCGGGATTGATGCCGCTTGCGTGCAAAAC